TCGTTACTTCAGACCACAAATATATATATATATATATATTTGTGGTCTGAAGTAACGACTGAGGAGACCGGTCTGAGATCAATGGAACAGTTTATTAATAGCAACTTGTTCAAGTAACAGGCAACGAAAAAAACTCCACCTGACAGCTATTTATACAGCAAGCTGTCAGACAGGAAACCAATGGGAGTGCAGGGTTTCTCCCGCCAAGAGGCAGACGCGTCCTGGCCAATCAGAGGCGCCTTGCACAGCGCCATCTGCTGGCCAGGACACTATATAATATTATATAAAATATAATCTGCGTTTGAATGGAAATTTATGTTATGTCCCAGCCTTTCCCACTTATTGGAAAGCAACCTCTGACATACCACAAAAAATGTTTTGCACCCTGTTGGATAAAGGCAACATATTATGTTTAGTTCACATATTGTATTAGTGTTGGAGGGATGAGGGAAAGAAATGCTGCCTAGCGAATGGTCAGACAAAAAAGGGTAGAAGCCCATCACTGTTAAAAGTGAGTGGAAGATTTGTATTTTCAGATCTGAAATATTCTGTTAATGTAGTCTGACAATTAAATAGAATTAGTCCATTTGCTCATGTTTCCTGTTTGTTTTACCTGAGAGGCTGACACATACACACTTCCTCTCTCTGAGAGGAAATGCACTTATATCCCACCACTGCTCTGTTAGTTTCATTTCTTTGTCAGCATGTCAGTCCTTTAGAAAAAATGCACTCTAAAACCTAATTCAAGTATCTTCACAAAATACCTGCTACAGCGTGCAATCTGTGGAACAAAACATTTTAAAAATATTTTATTTTAAAATGCTTTCATTCACAATCATAAGTTTTCTAAGCAATTCTTGCCTTTCCCCATATTTAGAAAACAGTAATAGTGACAGGATAAAACCACAGCAGATCATGGAGCCATCTGCAGGGAACAAACGAAATATACAGATTGCCTGCTTTTGTTTTAGTCCCATTTGCTAAGAAATAAATAATTCCGTAGGCAGAAATGTGAAATGAAAAAAAATCAACATAAGGAACACCAGTCCACATGTCATTCAGTAAGGATTGTCATTCAATTGAAAAACACTTTTTTGATAGATTTATTGTTTTTCAGACTGTCTTTCTTCTGTCCCCCCACCAATGAAAAAAATCTAAAAACACATACATTCAAATTTCAATGTACAGAGAAAAATACATTTTCACAGAACAAAGTTAGAAATTCCAAAACTGTCCTTTATGTAACAATTTGCTATGGAATTGTCTGATCAGTTACAATACTTGCTTTGACATCATTGGCCAGTTCAATCAAAAATCAAGAGCTAAGAGCACAGCTGTCAGATATTACACACAGCAATTTCTAGCTAAAAGGTATGTCTTACATATGACCTAGTGACTAATATGCAATTATTTTGCCGCAGTTTAAGCCTTCTGAATCATGTTTTATCTCATTGTGAAACATTGGGCTTTCTGTCACCAGATATCCAGAACAAATACCTTAGAATGAATCTGTAAACACTATATAGGCAGTCCAGTCTTCAACTATGCCTTGAAGACAAGGAAATCCACCCACTGTCCCCCTTGTTAATTCAGGCAGGTTGGAATTTGGCAATACAGTATTTTGAATAGCTAGTTGTAGCTATCACCACCAATCTGTTATCTGGTGGCTAAGGTAGACAAAAAGAAAGGTAGATTATATTGCCACTTCTAGAATTGCTAAGGCTTTCTAGTAATATATGAAGAATAATGCCTGAAGAAGGATGTTGTGGATGTCTCTGATAGAACAAGGAAATATAGGAAAGAAAATGGTTCTCTTCACACAGCAACTTTTCAAATCATGGTTTATTACCAAATGGCTCATAGAGCCCATATTGTAAGGCTAAGACACGGTGGGCATGCTCAAGTTGTGAAAAACAAACAAGCTGTGTTATAAGTGTGTTACATAGTCATATAGCATTATGACAAAATCAATGCATTGTCTTTTGAAAAGAGCAATTTTGTAGAGTAAGGAATAAAATACACCAAGTTATCCTCATGACATCTTGGATCATGATAACAGGAGTTGTAGTTAAAACAGCTGAAGCACATCAGATGAAAAGTCAGCTCTAACTGGATTGAGTTGGAAAATGAGGTATGAAATTCTCATGATTTTGCAGCTTTAGTAACTAGAAATTATCTCCTGAATTTACTTCATTCTGCTAATAGCTGCATGAAGCAGAGGCTTTCAAGTAAGGGTCCAATTTTAACCCTGAACTCTGTACCACACCAATAAAATAATGGATGCTGATTGGTGCAAAGGGGAAGAAGAGGCATTTGCTTCTCCAGCTTTCTAATTCACTTGCATATGGCAGATTATGATATTTTTAGGAACCCACAAAAGAAAGAAAAAAGGCAAGCATTCAAGTTTTTGCCACCACCAAGTAATATCAAGGTTTTCTCTTTTGTAAATTGTGCTTTTTGTTACAGTGCTTTTTCCCCTGACACAGCTGTTTATTGCTTACACTTCAACACATGTCTATAATTAAAAGAGAGGGAAGGAGGCAGGAACTAAGAAGCAATCAGACAGGTCTGAGTAATTTTTTAAAAATGTGGTTCGTTCTACTCCAGCATGGTTTGGATGTACAGTAGTGAATGCACAAAAATTATTCAAAACACTCATAAATATGCACACATTATCCTCTGAAAAAATGTATTCTTTCAAAATAGTAACCTACCCAGGAACTATAGAACAGAAGTTCTTATCCAGAATGAGGGGCATTTGCTTCTGGGAACAATATCTCCAAGTTCTAAGTAGAGTCCTCAGATTATCTGAGCTAAACCTGGAATTTGCTAAATTTAGCACATGATAACTTCAAATTGCAAGGCTGGCCCAAGCTTCAATGCACCAAACTCATTTCCACTCCATCTTAACATAAAAGCATATTTTCCCTTCTGATGTAGACAGTCATTCCAGTGTCTGGAACAGAATGAAATAAATAAGGGTTTCTGTATTGCGTATAGATGAAATGTTTTGTTGTCATCACCTCACCTCATGGAACTGTACCGTCTCTTGTTCCCAAGAGGGCCCAGCATGATGAATTTGCAGCAATAGAGTTCAACGTTAGTGGATGGACAGGCGAGTGCAGGGGCACTGAATTCAAAACCGAGGTAGGAAAGGGAAAACTTTTGCTCAAAGCCAGCTCTTCTGTGAAGAAAGACACAGCATCCCTTTTGCAAGATGCAACAGGAGGGCTAGGAGCCAAAGACAAAATTTCTGACTCGTACTGCAACAGCTGCCCCATGAAACTGAAGTTTGGCGAGATCAGACTCCTCCGTTGCTTGATATAGTCAAATGCTTCCTCCAGGCGGAATTTTCTCATTTTCATCAGATAAGCCATGCAGATGGTGGGAGAGCGAGAAATCCCTGCTTCACAGTGCACCAGGATCTTGCCCCCTGCCCGTCTGGTACAATCTGAAAAGAAGAAATAAAATGGACTAAATATAGAAGCTATTGCAATCACTACGAATAGCTGCCTCTATTGGTAGCATGCCATGCCATACTTCCTGCCTTGTGGAACAATATTCCTGAGCTTTGGATGGCCCTCACCCTATTGGCTTTCCAGTAGGCTTGAAGGACTTGGCTTTTCCTCCAGGTGTTGCGGTCCAGATCTTAGCAAAGCCAACATATATCTGACTTTGACTAGTTTTTAAAAAATTGGTTCCTGCTTCTTTATTTATTTTAATTTTTTGGTTCCCTGCCTAGAGTTATCTTAGTTAAGGTGGACAGCCATATAAAATTGTTTAATAAATAAAACATAAATAAATGCCACAATGCCAATCACTTTACACACATTTCAGATTGCTAAGAGAAGGACATTCAGAAGGTATTTCACAGATGCAATGAACACTAAGAAAGTAATTTCTCCTTGTTTTTGTTGGCCACATTTATAGAAAAATTACAACTCTTAATAACTCTGTGGTGGATAAAAAGGCTTTGCTCTTTCCCTTCACCCTTGCCAAATCTAGCCACATTATGGCAGCAGATGTTTAATAAAATGGACTCTCTACAGTTCTATAAAAAAAAAACCCTGAAAGAGTTTGATTCTTTTCATAAGAAACTCACACTGGCAGTAAAAAGTTTTATATACTCTCCCAAAGCAGTTGGAAATGAGTGTATTTCCCTGCTTACTGGAATCACAGAAGGCAATGCCTTTGGCCCCATCCTGTGAGATCTTTTGGTAGACGTTCAGTATGCATTTTGTACCCAAGTTGCCAAACCCTGGGCTCCTGGGGTTTCCACCACAAACTGCACAATAAACTACTCTAAAATCTCTAATTATAACCCTTGATAAGTGGCACTTGGACTTAAATCAGACTATAAATGGCTTAAGCAGAGCTACCATTTTACGCAATGGGAGGCCCCAAGGTTACTCACACAATTCAATTATTGTTATAAGATTAAAAAGAAAATGCTGAAAATAAGCTCCTTGTGTAAAATTCAAGGATTAAAAATAGAACTGAACTGCTTTTGCTGAACTAGGAAATGAATTTCCAAGTTTTATCCTATTGTAAAACCTATTAGATTTATAGACCATACTGTACTCCACCCATCACATACTCCATCACATACTCCCTAACTGTTATTATAAAGCTTCCTGAAACCTCTACAGAAGTCATTTTATTTCAAAGCAAGGAACTTACACTTTATTTACTACATAGCATTGAATAGAAATACTCCTGGAAAGGGGAAAGAAGATTCTGTAGTCCGACACTAGTGGAGGAAGGCTTCCTTTCATGATTCAAGAGTTCTTATTTTTCATTTGCAAGAGAAAGAGAGAGATAATCAACCTACCGATAAATTCTATGGCTTCCTGGAAGTGTGAGCTGATGTCTGCTGTGTGACTGTCCTCCACTGGGATCCACTTACAGCAGAATTGGTTAGTAAAGGGTTCAGAACTCTTTCTGGAGACATTCAAGAGTGCAGTGATGTTTAAGTTGGCAAGGAACTCACACTTGGAAGCATGATAGGCACTGCCAAGGTATAGGAAAGGCAGGATTTCCACCGGACCACCCTGGTAAATAAAAGAGGAATAAACCATTATAGATTTTCTGAATGATTTTTATTCAATAAATTCAAGATAATAGGCAGCTCTGGGAAATTTCTGGGAAGCATTTTGGTCCCCTAGCAGATGTTCCTGTGATGAACAACTGTGGGGTTGAGGTTGAAAGAGTTTGTAGTAGGTGGAAATGCTAACAGAGGTGGTTAAACTGCCTGTTGCTGCTTTGCCACTTGCTAAGTTTTTCATCTTCTAAATATCTTTACCCTCATTCTACTACAAGGGTCAGTGCAATATGGTTGTTCCAGATAGGAATAGCTGTTGTTCCAGAAGCCATAGATCAGGAATCTAGTACTTTTTAATCCAGGGACTGCACTAAACTTTAAATAGTATGTGGTGGTTACTGTCCTAAACTGGGTGATGAGATCAAAGAAGTAAATGGAAGCAAGGCAAAACCTAAAACTTGCATGCAATTGAATTGAATCAAATCAGAATAACTACGACTGGATGATCTTTGAAACTCAAACTAAGTTTATATTATTAGTCACTATATATTTAATAACTTTCCCTCCAATCATATTAAAACCTACTTATATGTAGCCCTTTCTAAAGGGGATTTGGAGGCTGTTGCTAATAGTGGTGCCCTGATATAGACACATAGCTTATTAGAATTACTAAACCAACAACTCAGTTTCATAGCTAACAAAGTTCCATCCATCCATCCATGTTTTTCATTTGAAGGGGGGCGGGGGAAGCATATATAACAGCCTGAACCTGAAGAACACAAACATGGGGAAGGACACAGAAGGAATTTGGGCATGAACAGATTGTTCTTAATTTCCTTTAAACACACCTGATCATATGCTGGCTTCTGGTGGATGAATTGCTTCTCATGCAAGCTGTTGATGCTTTTCTCAGTTTCAATCTTCTCTTGGGACAGAGGCTTTACATCTATGCAGAACTCTGGATATTGTGAGTAAAATGTTTCATAACCTCCTAGAAAAATTACAAGTGCAAAGATATAAATTTAAAAAAGCTAGGCATGGATCATCATTCTCCCCCTTAAACCTGTTTCTTGTTTCCTATTGCATTAAGAGTTTCCATTACAAAGAAAAACAGAGAAAATAAAGCAAAAGAACAGGAATCTACATTTAGAGCTAGAAATTGAAGAGGAAAAACTGTAAATAAAATGTGACATTCCAAAATATTTCCTTTCAGATATTTTTATGCTTTTATTAATTTAAAAAAATGCAGATTGAAAGGCCGCTGTGCATTGATTAAACACTTCCATTCCTTTGCCTCTTAGAAAATTAAATGGATGCATTAAGAGACATAAAAGTTAATGAAACTCTGTGATAGGCTTAGGTATCTAAATAGCCTCAGGTGAGTAGCTTTTCTGTACAAAAATAGATTTTACTACACAATTAATGTAAACTAAATATACCTATCAAAGATGCAACTTAGAGCATGGGAATCGATGTCCATCTAAGGTGCCACTTAGAGCATGAGTACTGATGAAAAGAGGATAAATGTATGTTATATTGGATAGCATTTGTAGAACCTCAACTATTATAATTACAGTGGTTTTTTTGTTGTTTTCACTTATAAGAATGATTTCCACTGATACAATGAGAAAGGGAGGACATGTCTCTACAATCCTCTACCCCTTCAACCATCAGGAATAAATTCTAAGAAAAAGCAAAGGGTGGCAGGAGCAGAAGGCACACCATTTTGCTAGCAGAAATCTGATGTTTGACAATCCCACTTTAAATTAGGGCACATTGCTTAAGGAAACATACCCAGAGTACGTTTTTCTCTTACAACTTCACTCCCCCAAATCCCTTGAGTTGGTACACATTGAAACATTTTCAATATGAATTTAATAAAATACAGAGGAAACAGGAAGTTAAGTAAAAGTCAAGAAAAAGTGGTTTGGGGACTTAGGGGATTTTAAAAATAATATTCAGTTCAAGCAGTATAAGAGCATTGTGTTTTCATCTTTTAATTATTCTCTAATTAAAAAATGATCATAGGAGCCTATTAAGGACAAATAAATAAGTTTATTTTTATAGCTCAGAATGTTGAAAAAGGAAACCAAAATTGCATATTTTCAGCTATTGCATATTTTCTTTCTGCCATCAAAATGGATGCTCTGATTTTCCAAATGATCAGTGTAAGCAGCCAACTCTTTTCCTCACTTTTGCTCCAAATGGTTTCCCCTCAATTCATTTTAATATTCTGAAGCATCTTATACAGATAGTCCTCAACTTACGACCAGAACTGAAACCAAAATTTCTGTTGCTAAGTGAGAAATTTGTTAAAGGAGTTTTGCCCCATTGTACAACTTTTCTTGCCACAGTTGTTAAGTGAATCACTGCAGTTGTTAAGTTAGTAACATGATTGTTAAGTGACTCTGACTTCGCCATTGCACTACTGCAATGCACTCTACATGGGGCAGCCCTTGAAGAGCATTCGGAGACTTCAGCTTGTCCAGAATGCAGCCGCGCAAGCGATTGTGGGTGCACCCCGGTACACCCACGTTACACCTATCCTCTGCGAGCTGCACTGGCTGCCTATTGGTCTTCGGATACGCTTCAAGGTGCTAGTCGTCACTTATAAAGCCCTTCATGGTATTGGACCTGGGTACTTGAGAGACCGCCTGCTGCCAATTACCTCCAACAGACCTATTAGATCCCACAGACTAGGCCTCCTCCGAATTCCATCTACCGGCCAATGCCGATTGGCTACCACCCGAAGGAGGGCCTTCTCTGTGGCTGCTCCGGCCCTCAGGAACGAGCTCCCCGTGGAGACTCGGACCCTCACCACCCTTCAGGCTTTCCACAAAGCCCTTAAAACCTGGCTGTTCCGAAAGGCCTGGGGCTGACGAGTTTCTGTCCCCGCTCGAATTGTGTGGTTGTTGATTGTTTTTAAATTGTTGTTGTTGTTTGTCTGTTGTTTTCCTCCTGTTTGTATCCCCCCCTTACTTTGGTTTGTGAGCTGCCCTGAGTCCCTCTGGGAATAGGGCGGCATAGAAATGCAATAAATCAAATCAAATCAAATCAAATTTTGCTTGTCAGAAGGTTGCAAAGGTGATCACGTGACCCTGGGACACTGCAACCATCTTAAATGTGAGTCACTTGTCAAGCATCCAAATGTAAATTGCGTGACCATGGGGATGCTGCAATGGTCATAATGAAAAATGGTCATAAATCACTTTTTTCAGTGCCGTTGTAACTTCAAATGGTCACTAAACGAACTGTTTAGTTGAGCTTTACCTGCATAGGGGTAGGTAGGGGAGGATTAGAGTTCATTTAAGTGTTACAATACTGTTCATATCCCTAGTTTCAGGGATAAAAGGAGCCGAGGTGGCGCAGTGGTTAAATGCAGCACTGCAGGCTACTTCAGCTGACTGCAGTTCTGCAGTTCGGCTGTTCAAATCTCACTGGCTCAGGGTTGACTCAGCCTTCCATCCTTCCGAGGTGGGTAAAATGAGGACCCGGATTGTTGTTGGGGGCAATATGCTGACTCTGTAAACCGCTTAGAGAGGGCTGAAAGCCCTATGAAGCGGTATATAAGTCTAACTGCTATTGCTATTGCTATAAAAAAGAAAACCAAGCTCTCTCCTTTCCCTTGGATAGGTCAGAGAACTCAACAGATCAGCTGTAACCCAGAAGTCACCTTTCCATCCAGTTCTCTAGCTCTTTCTCTGCCTGCACTCCTCTGATGGCTGTGCTCTGATGCTATAATTTCCACGAAATACTGCATTGCTCATTTTGCAAAAGAGAGATTCTTTTCACTGTGAGGTATCAAAATTCTAGGCACAGGAAAGTGGCAAAAACCTACAGTCTCTCTTATGGCAAATAATTGCTTCCAATAGGGCAAGAGTTTAATTTTAAGTTCTTTCAATAAAAATGAAAGAACCATTTATGATTTATCTATGTAAGGAAATAACCTTGCCAATGTAATTAAGGAGTAAATCTTAAAGATTTTTCTGACTGTTCACTTAATCTCAGTGCTAGATTCAATTGAAATCAGTGAACTAACCATTTTTTAAAAAAGGTCCTATTATGAGTGGTGGATCAGAGAAAGTGACATAACACATGCTGAAAGCTTTCAAAAATATTGGTGAGGGGGGCGGTTGGCAAAGATTATGTCACTCCACAGTAAAAGTATTCTCTGAAGAGCAGGATTGCATTTGTGGTTGCCGTTAGCTGGCAAGCTTTCTGACTCATGCCTGACAGACTGCCTGAGTCTAGGCCCACTTAGAAAATTGATTCCACGCAACAATGAATCCTCTCCCACATCACAAACAGACAAAACCCTTGGGATAAGCCTCAAGGTTCTTCCATTAGTTCACTGTGAACATTCAGTCTGAGCTAAAAACATAAGAAGAACAGCATCGATGTGTGACTCAAACACAATTTACCAGTGTAGCCAGTTTCCAGAAGATAACACATAGTCTATAGCAATAATAGGCTTTCTATTTCAGGATATTCAACATGGATGGCATTCAGTCTAAAATCACCCAGAAAATTTCCTACCATGGTATCTCACGCTTAAATGATCTTAAAACAGGAAAAACTGTTAGCAGTAAGTAATAGTTACAATCATTTCGTAAAATCACCTTGCTGTGTCAAATAGAATGCTAAGAATATAGGAGATAAAGCTTCCAAGAATTACTTTTTGATTTGGAAACAGGAAGGCTAGGAGATTGCCATTTAAAAGGCTAAACTACAAAGCAATTACGTAATAAGCAGATCAGAATCAAAGTGTGATGTGTTTTAGTACGCAGTGTATTAAAAAATTGCTTTGTTAAGTACATGCTGAAATATTCCTGAACTACAGTATCTTTAGTTTCTCATTTGTTTCCACCCATCAAAGGAATCAAATTTCAAAATCTTTTACATGACATGAGTCTTCTTAAAAAATAAAAGAATTCTTTATGCCAACATAAAGAATTTAGCATCCATCTGAATTAGCATACTGTGTAGAGATTTTCCTACAATAGTTTGGTATCATTGAGAAAAAAAGATGCCATAATATTTTCTGATTTAAATAATATAAAGCAGTAATCATTATGCCTCTAACAGGATCAATTAAGACATTTAAATTATTCCTAATAAAAGCACTATGCTACTGCTATCCGAAAGCGATCATTTTTGTTACATACAAAAATGTTTGATTATGTTGGAATACACAAATGATAAGGATCTGCCCTATAGGAGGCAGTGTTGACTTCTACATTCTGCATTCGTTTAACTTAAAACCAGACGTTTTCTTATATTTCTGATTGCTTTCCATCTTCTCTATTAATACTTTTATGAAACGAATAAGGATGGTGTTTTAGATCAGGCACTTGAGGAAGGTGAAATAATTAATCTGCTTCAATTTTTGTAGCAAAACCAATACATCTTGTGTATATTTTTAAGTTAGATCTGGGCTAAAAGACCAGATCTAGGCGAGCTTCCATTCATTAGTCACCTAAAACTGGACACAAGAGCGCAGGAGATGTATTGATTTTGATTCTGCCCCTCCTTTTCTTTCTTTTTTGCATGCATTTATGGCGAATAGGATTTCCAGTGGACTTTTTGTCCTCACTTCTTAGGAAAAAAAGTTATAGCAAAGTCAGGGGAAGAGGATCTGTTGAAAGGAAAACCTACAGATCGTGAAACCTCCTCTTCCTTTCTCGTTTAGCTCACAACAGAATGCATTAAACACGTGCCGTTTACGCGACCGGGCCGGTTCTCACTTGTTCTTGCGAAACCTACCCAGTCTAGCATCTGGACAGGTATCGTTATGAACAAGGCGGCCACGACTGCTCATTGCTAGCAGCGCCGCCGGGCTCTGGCTAACTTAATCTGCCAGGGTACAGGCGACATCCAGACGGAGCTCTCTTTGGGATCCGGTTTAGCAAGATTCGCGTTTCCAATTCCCTACAGCAATGCTTCCCAGGAGCTACTGGGACGGTCCCATCTTCCATTAACACATACCCCCCCCCCGCCCGCCTGCAGCGCTTCTTTCTCCTCGACAGCCTCACCTTTTAGGAAGCAGACGCGGGCTCCAGCCTCGGGCAGGCTTGCAGACAGCGTGTTCAGCACGATCTGCGCCGTGCTCTCTTTCTTGAGCTTCCGCCAGTGCCTGGTGTTTTGATCCAGGACAACCACGGCCGTCAAAGTCCGAGGCGGCGCGGCGTCCCCTTCTCTTTCTTCCGAGCAAGCAGCCGGCGGGAGCAGAAGCCGCCCCCGGGCCGCCTCGTCGGGCACCACGAAGTGTAAAGGCACGGGCCGCCCATGGGAGCGGCGGATGACCACTGAGTTGAGGTTGACGTTGAGGGACCCTCGGAGGCAAGAGGCAGAATAGGAGAAGTAGGGTCTGCAGTCCAGGACGAGGCACAGGGCGGGGTCCTTCCGTAGCAGTTGCTTGAGTCGACGAGAATCCAGAGCCGTTACCTTCATCTTGGCTTTGCTCTCTCCCTCTCTCTTTCTCTCGCGCTCTCTCTCAGAAGCAGCCTCGCAAAGGGTCGCCCCTTAGGCGCTTAGCTTCCTAGGCGCGTGATTAGTTGAAACAACACCCGAGAGACGGCCAAGCCAGCTTCCTTAAAGCCGCTCCTGACCGCGACCCTGCTTTGTCTCTCCTTCCCTGCCTTCGCATCTCCCTCCCGGAATCCAAGCAGGGGATTCCGCTTCGGAGAAGAGGCAATTTATCTGAATGAACGCCGGAGCCGCGCGGCTCTGTCCATATAAGGCGAGCGACGTCATAGGAATGTTCTGTAGTAGGGACGCCTCTTCGGCTCGACGCCGCCCAGCCGAGGGTAGAGGAGATTCCCTCGCCCCTCCCCCCAGGAAGAGGGAAGGCCGAGCTGAGGCGATGCTTAGGAAAGCGTTACTCAGGCTTCTTCGAGCAAAGGAAGTTGAAGAATGTTTTAAAAATTCTCCAGTCATCAGAAAACCCTCCTCAGACTCACTCACTTATTTCCGTCGACTTACTAATGAAGGAAAGGACGTGTGATGGTGACGGAAGAAAGAGAAATAGCATAAGGTGGAGGTGGAGGTGACACCAGGGATTTTTGGGGTTTTTTGCCGGCAAAACAGAGAGCTGTCTGGCTTGCTAAAGCTACAAGGATCGGGCTCTTCAGTTCCTCCATGCAAGCTACTAATTTTAAATTTCCACAACAATAAGAATATCACTCTCTGTTGAATTTCTTGCTGTAGAATACCTATAAAATACAGGTGGGGGGGCAAGGGTGCCTCTCTTGGCTTACATTTTTAAAGTTCTGCTTTAGCAGGCAGTTACAGAGAGCATGGCTATATTGTCTTCAGAAATATCTATGCAGAATAAGATGCTGTCTGGCAAATAGTTGTGCTTATCCAAAGATCGCTGTTCACAAGGACAAGCAAGAAATCCAACATAGTCTCAAAGGATTGTTGTTGTTTGATTTGATGATTAATGTCCTTATGATCAATATAACTATAACTCTTCTTGTATTGGCATAAAATAATTATATTATAGAAGAGGTTATTTGCATTGCCAATCCCACAATACCTCTCCTGTAACTGACAGAACCCCATTTCCTCAATCTGCAGGTGTACCAGACATTGTTGGTTTTAGTCTCTAGCTAGGTGCCTTTTCTGCATAATGCCAGCTGGCAAGAAACACCCAACAATTGCCATCAAGGATGGGGCAGATACTAAGTTTCACAGTTTTGCTTTCCACCTTAGCCTCTCTAGTTTTACTCTCACCCTACCTTCCTTTTGTAGATGCAACAAATATGCATCCACAAAAATATTTAAATATCTTGTAAATAGTTCGTCTGGTGAGAAACCTATGGCTTTCCAGGGGTTGATTGTTCCCAGGTGCCTAATTTTGAGGATACTGGATGGCATTATGTAGAATATTCTGAACACAAACTGTTTCCGGTACAGAACTGTTAATTTTGGGTGGTCTGTGCCCAAAGAGTGAAACAACCCTCTATTTTGATGTCTGTTAATTGAAATCTGCTTGTTCTAGTGGTTTGGGGGGTATAGGAAAAAGCAAGGGGACTACCTTGGCAAGAGTTTGTGTGACTATTGGCAGTAGCAGTGCAGGTTGAGAGACAAAGGAGATGGAGGGAGCACAGCAGGCCAATAGGATATGCCATCCTAGGAATCTGTCCCTTAATGCTGTAAGGAACAACACATAGAACACTACATCTGTGGCAATATGTGGTTTTTACAAATATATTGCAAAAATAAAGAACCGAAGAAATCACATTTTCCTTTGCAGTGTGACTCATTTATGTCAGAAGTTTCACTTTAGTTTGTAAAGTTCATTTCCAACAATTGTCTGAACTGAGAAGTGAAATAGAAAAGACTTGTTAAAAAAAGGCAGGAGGGGGTAATTAATTCTACATTATGTAACTTAGGTAGAATTTCCCTCTCTTCTTCCCATCATAATGTCTTCCTTATTTTGCTGCTGTAGTATTTTTTCTTTTTCTTTTGATAGCCATAGACAAAGAAGAGACTGAGTGACAGTCTCAAGTTCTAATAATAGCTATTAAGTTGTTTTAGTGTAGCATGCAATTGAATCTCTTCACCTTTTTGATACTTTTTAGATGTCGCTTTTAGTAAGCAATTATCTCAGATATTTTGTTTACAGTATTTTAGATGCCACAATCAGTTGCAATGCTTGTTTCCTGATTCTTCTCATTTTTGTTTATCATAGAAAATCCGTAAGGAGAGAAAGGTAGAGTTGCTGCATTGTTATTTTTAATAGATAGTGCAAGGAGTTGTTCATTTTAAAGCACTTTTTGAATCTGAAAGTTTGAGGCTTTGACTGCTGTTTAAGAATAATCTTTACGCTGCTGCTTTACAGGTGTGTGCATACTACTTATTTATATGAAATTGTAATTGACTTGGTCTTCTGGGAATACTTTAAACAAAAATATCTCTACCAGAATGAAGACAAGATTCAGGGGCTTAAAATAGTTGTAACATATCTAAATCATGACTTCAAGTTTTGATAAAATTAAGGTTTTTTTAAAAACGTTCTTACAATTTTTTAGTTTAGTTTTTTTAGTTTTTCACTTTATTTGTATGCCGCCCTTTTCCCTGGGGGGACTCAGGGCGGCTCACAGTTCAAAGGGGGGGGGGGAGGACAAACAATTTACAAACAATCCAGCTGTGGCACACAACTGAATTAGTCAAATGGACTTTCATCAAAATTACCATATTTTTCAAACTGTAAGATGCACCGGAGTATAAGACACACCAAGATTTTGAATAGGTAAATTTTAAAAAAAGGTTTTGCCCTCCCCAGACCCCAGGAGTTCTCTTTTGTGAAAAATGGGGCATACAGAGAGTTTGCGAGGCCTGCAAAGTATTCCTGGGTGCCAGGGAGGGCAAAAACATGATGCATTGGGGGGGGGGGTTGGGGCTCGTTTTCTGCAAAAATGGGGTGTGCAGAGGGTTTGTGAGGCCTGTAAAGTGCTTCTGGGGGCTAGGGAGGGCAAAACACCCCCATTTTTGTAAAAAACATGTCTTTTTTCACTCATTTTTGCCCTCACCAGCCCCCAGGAACACTCTACAGGTCTCCCAAACCCTCTGCACGTCCATTTTTGAGAAAAATGGGATGCGCTGATTTCAAGAGGCCAAAAATGCTGTATTCAGTGTTCAAGACACACCCAGATTTTCACCCTCTTTGGGGGGGGGAGATGCATCTTATACTCCCCAAAACACGGTAACTAAAGTTGATGGATATATAATGTCAGAAGACAAGTATATCAGATAACCACAAGAAATTGCTTTTTAGTGAAACACATCCATACCATAACTAGTCTATCTTGTGCAGCTTTCCAACAGATTCTTTTCTTATTCTATCTGGAAAGATTGTGGGTTGAGTTTGGACCTTCTAATAAAAAAGTATCTGCTACACTACAGTTCTTCCCTAAGAATTTACAAGTAAAATGTTATAACTTTCAGGAAAGATTTGTCAGAATCCATGTGTGGTAAATATTTTGCAATATTATTATTGAAAGCATTCAGCTTTAACACAGAACTCAATAAATCAAAATCCTGTAATTACACACAGCCACCTAGAAATGCATTATCTGAGCTGTTCCAGAATACTGGATTATACTGTGGTTTATATCAATTCTCTTGTAGATCTTGCCATATTACTGTGTATACAAAATTGAATGGAATTCTTAGCCCTGTATGGTACCGGAACTTTTTAATGAAAAGCTGCACACTGTTCTCTACACTCAACACTGTTCATTGTACACTGTTCTCTACACTCAACAAACATTAATTTCAATGTTATTGTCAATACAGTAATATATATCTAAGTAACAGAATTTGCAGTAACTATGACTGAAGTAAAGCAAACAAACAACTAAAAATTAACACAGAAGTAGAACATATCATTGATTTACTTTTTTGCATCAGGTGGAATGACTTGCTATATATTTATTCCTTATATATTTCTTTCCTCATGAGCATTGTATCAACATGTCAAGGAAGGTTTGAAATTCCACAGAATTGGACCAGATGACTGCATGGAAAGAACGTGTATCATGTACTAGTCATAAGCTATTGGCCCATGGAATTGGGGTGGGGCAGAACAATACCAAAGAGTGATATATAAATAAGCTACAGCCCCAAGGTGATTTTTTTTCCAGGAAAACATTGGTTGTAGGATGGTTGGGCCTACAAAAGATGAAACTGTAGAAACAGTTTTGAAATTAATTTAACCTGGGAAAAATTGCTAAGGCAGCAGAGTAGTTCAGTATTACAAAGATAAGATTCTGCAAATGGATAGGATAGAATAGAATAGAATTCTTTATTGGCCAAATGTGATTGGACACACAAGGAATTTGTCTTTGATGCATATGCTCAGTGTACATAAAAGGAAAAAAGAAGAAAGGGAAAAATACATTTATCAAGAATCATAAGATACAACATTTAGTGAAAGTCATAGGTTACTGTTAAGCAATCAAATCATACCAGGAAACAAACAGAACAATATAAATAGTAAAGATACAGGCAACATGGTTATAGTATGAGTGGGAAGAGATAGGTAATAGGAAGGATAATAAAAATAATGGTAATAAAGTCTTAGTAAATAGTTAACAGAGTTGTGGGAATTAGTTGTTTAGCAGAGTGTTGGCATTTGGGGAAAAAACTCCTTGTGTCTAGTTGTTCTGGTGTGCAGTGCCCTATAGCGTTGTTTTGAGGGTAGAAGTTGAAACAATTTATGTCCAGGATGTGAGGGGTCTGTAGATATTTTCTCAGCCCTCTTTTTGACTCCTGCAATATACAGGTCCTCAATGGTTGCAGAGTCAAACCAGACAGTTATAGAGGTGCAGATGACAGACTCAATAATTCCTCTGTAGAACTGAATCAGCAGCTCCTTGGGCAGTTTGAGCTTTCTGAGTTGGCGCAAAAAGAACATGCCATAATATACTATGGTATAGTATGGCATAGTATATATGCCATAGTAATCATAATTCATGTGATACAGCTCAGTGGATTCACAAATTTAACTATACAATGCATTGCCAAAAATCTGAGAATATAGTATGCCTCATTTGATTGATTGTCAAGGGCACACTTGGCTTTTCAGGAAAATAGGCCATTTAAT